TTCTCAACAAGCACAACCGATACATGAATAACGAGTACCTCCTAAAGAAGGTGATGCACAAGAAGATGAGGACGTGGCTGAATGGGAACTTCAAAAGAAGCATCCAATCACCATAAGGCCAATTTATGTTCCGATGAAAGACGTCTCATCGGTGTCCAAGTGGTATTCCCATGACCAGTTCAAGCCTGAGAACCAAGTTAAAAAAGTCCCATTACGGGGTTCCCATGACCACCAAATTGCAAAGCAGTATCCAAATGTTGATGCCATCAAATGGTCAAAGGATTGCCCGAAAACATATGAAAGAGGCAAGCCATTCCTACCAAACCGGGATATCCAGCGCCTACCACTTAGAATGAGAAGGTTCCATGATTGGTACTTGCGTGTTATCCCAACGAGTATAGACCTCATACAAGCATGTTTTCCCACCGGCACATTTGGAAGCCCAGCTGGGAAAATTGTCTTTGACTTCAATGACATGCAGACATGCTTTCACCTCGGAGCAATGGAGATGAATCTAATTCACATGTGGTGCCTGTAAGTCCTTGTCCTCCCGATATGATATGAATGTAATCTTTGAATTTTGTTGTAACTAACCCACGCCGTGATTTGTAGAATGCAAGTGCACATTGTCAAACAAATGCCAAGTGTGAAAGCCGGGTATATAGACCCTCAAGCTATAGCCCAAACAAATTTTAATTACCCTAAACAGTGGAAACTAGATGCCAAAGAGCTAGCTGCTGCAAAGACTCTTCTGAAGAAAGAGCACATCCATACGGTGAAACTAATGGAAGAGTCCCTTAAGATTGCGGCATACATTGCCCTGGCTTTCAAAATTCTCCAACAGCACTCTACTATATGGCTACCATATAACTTCAAGTAAGTTCAACCCTATACTTAAAGCTTTGTTCGATATATTTTATTCGATGCAAAAGAGCTTATCTAGTTCTATGATTAAATCAATGCAGCAACCACTGGATTTGTATAGTCGTCGATGTCGGGAGGAGCATGGCATGGGTCTTTGATTCAATAGATAGGGACCCGGTGACATACAAAGACTTCATATCGATTCTCAAGACGTATACATATCGACAACCCTCATTAGCTTATATGTTTGTATACATACTTGTAACGTTCACTTTTGAATACTAACAAGTTGTATTTGCTAAAATAATTCGAACAGGACATTTAGGTTCTATGTCACTAAACATCACGGAAGGCATGATCCAGCAAGGAAGGAAAAGCTGGCTATAAAAACACTATGTGCGGTAAGTGTAACTTACTTCTTCAGTACTCCATTACATGGCTGTTAAAAGCATCACTTAACATTTTCATATGCAAAACACACAGTGCCCCAAGCAGAAGTCTGGAAGTGTACATTGTGGATACTATATATGTTCTATGATGAGTAACACCGGTGCCTACAGGAGACACCCCTTAAGGGTAAGTTTGAATCTCTTCACCCGTAGTATAAAAACTTCGTACATGATATGAAATACTAAACCGAAACTTATTCTCTCGTAGTGGAAAGAAGAGAAAGAAATGAAAAGAGACCCATATAAGGATGACCAACTCTTAGAGCTCGTCGGCGACCTTTGCAACTTCATATTGGACCAGATTGTACACGTCAAAGGCACCTACCATGACTGAGAGTCTGACTTAGGTAGTAATCCTTAGTACCAACACATTCGTGAGACTGAAAGGCTAGCTCTAGGGCGTTGATAACAATGTGTATGAAATTTGACATTGATTTTACCTTGTTAATTATGTCTATTTAATGATGGATTGTATATATTCTTGTGAATTGGACTTGTAATTGTAGTTTATATAATACTCTTGTACTTGTAGTCTAAGGGGTTCGGAACGCTGGTCGCGGGGTGTTCGATACGCGAACGCGGTTCAGAACGTTGGTCGCGGGGCGTTCGGCAACGCGAACACTGGATGGAATACGCGGAAACAAACAGTGTTCTAGTCGAATTTGAATTGTAAATTTGAATTTTTTTTACGGAAAAACGTATTGTAGGGACAGTTCTAGACTGAACCGCCCCTACAAACAGGTATTATAGGGGCGGCTGGTACCCTACAAATCGATTTGTAGGAGCGGCTGTAGTACCAGCCGCCCCTACAAATACATGATTTATAGAGACGGTTTGGTAGGGGCGGCTGGCCAAACCGCCCCTACAAAGGGTTACGAGCCGCCCCTAAAAATGTTTCTGTAGTAGTGTCCATCGCCGTCGATAAGCTTTGATCTATATAGGGAGGAGTGCCATGTCGGGTTTTGCATGCGTCGAGACGCCATGCCATTGGCGGAGTGACAGAGAGAGAGAGGGAGGAGTAAAGGGGAAAGAAGCAGAGAGAGTGGCCGGTGTGGTGAGAAAAATATGCACACGGGGACGGTGGGTCCATTGATCGACCTCCCCCCACTGGCGCCAATCGCAAGGTGACACACGATCAAGTGGGCCCTATCTCTCGGCCACCCTAAGGGAGCGTACATGGAAGAGGGAGTCACATGTGTTTACATATGGTTTGGTGTGACAATGATTTTTACCGATTGTGAACCACCCTAAGGAAGCATACGCGGGGAGAGGGAGTCACATAATTTTACCGACGGTTCGGTGAAAATGATTTCTACTGATTGTAAACCGTCGGTGAAATTTTAGTTATCACACCAACGGTTTTTATAAAACCAGCAATGGAAATATATATTGACTGTTTATGTAGTAAGTGATCGGGATTGGTGCTGTGATGAAAAAAAAATGGCAGGATATATCAAAATAGCCAGACGGCATGCGTGCAGAGAAATGAAAAGGGCAAACAAACGCACGCAGCAGGTCGGCGACTGGGTTATATCTGTACGCATCATGTGTTTTGCTTAAAGTTGAAGACAGCTGTAGCTAGCTAGAGGTTTTATATATATATTGGCAGTGATGGATATGACGGTTTCTTATTTTCCGGAGAACGAGAAAGAACACATGACATTACCTACACCTACCAAGGGCTACAGGATCGGAGTAGAGAGAAAGCAGGAGCAACATGCTACCTGGATTTGTTTCAAGCACATGTGCTGCTGCAAAAGTTAGCACCTGCATGGATGTTTTGTTTCAAGCTCACCGTACCTGTTGGCTGTTTTGTTTCAAGCACATGCTGCTGCAGGGATGCAAAAGTTAGCAAAAGCTGTGTATGCGGCACCTCATGTATGTAACCTAACATTTAGGCGACCGAATTTTTGTTTGGTGGAGCAATGCAAAATGCCTGCTAATTCTGTTCATCAATCTGAAATGGTATTAATTCTCTGCTTGCAGCTTGCTTGAGGAACAAATTAAAGTTATTCAAACACGAAAGAGGCCGAGTATATAGCAAGCTAGAGAAGGAAGATGCAGACGTTTTTTTTTTTCATATGCACTCAAAAACTTCAATAATAAATTAATGAAAATACTTAGAAATTTCAATTGTCATTTTCAACATTTTAACTTTCCAAAAAAGTATAAGTTGTTCAAACATTTCTCCATATGCACTTAACATTGTTAGATGCTTTATTCATTCGACATTTAATGAAGTCTAAATCAACTTGGATAGACTAGTCTAGTACTTTTTGCGAGATTTTCTTAAATACTGCATTACAGATGTTAATTAGACTAGTCAACACGGTATTTTCGTATTATATTATTGATATTCTTTCTAGAAATATGTATTTATATGTTGGATCTCCCTTTGTTGCCTTGCTTTTAAACAACATCATATATATTGTTTCAAACCAAACGCTTGGTTGAGAGAAATGCACATTTGGACATTTCTCACAGTATGTGCAATCAGTTGGGAATTTGGGACATGGGCCGTGTGCCAGGCTTGGGCTCATCAGTCATCCTGGCCGGGCCGGTCAATAGACTTGGGCTTTGCATGCATATATATATACACGTGCTATTCTACATCCTAGGTATAGAATAGTTGTTATACTGAACAAAAATCAGTACTATTTAGTAGTCAGTGTTTCAGTATTTTTCATTATTTCAAGGTACTGGATGTAGTACTAACCAATGCTGAACGCGGTTCAGTACTACTCAGTATTTTTTCAGGTCAGTTTTGGCTTGTGGTGTAATATAATCATTCAAATCAAAGCCCAGACTTGAGATAATCGCATATTCGCATACGTGATAATACCAACGTACTGTGACCCTGTACAATGGGCAGGCGGCAGCTATACCTAAGCTTTTCCTCCCTACACACACAGTACTCTGCAAACTCATCCACACCATGGATGATAACCATCCATGCTCTGCTACAGATTCCCAACCGAGCCTGCTACAAACCAACTCTAGTAGTTGCAGGCTTCGCAGTTTGTTATACTGTGCGGACAGCCACCTTTATTCTATAGAATTCACAAGCTCTGGAGCTCCCTGTTCCTGAAAAAAGAAACTAAAATAAAATGCCAGATTTTATATTGTCGGAACTGTCACTTTTCAGGCTGCACACAGTTTGTTATATCTTGCATGCGCTTGACCACCTTTTGATTTTATATCATTAGATCAGAAATTCGTTTCATTTTATATCATTTTAGATCATAAATTCGTTTCACTTCATTGGTGAGCTCTTTGATGTTACATTGTTTTCAAACTCTTATCTTCTTAATGAAATACACTTCATTGTAGTTACTTTGATGTCATATGTCCCCACTAAAATGCAGTCTATTTATGTATCATACATTTTAGGAACAACAAATAAACAGGTAACTCTATTTGTACTTGGCCAGCATATTTACTGGATTGACTACAAAGCAACAGCTAAACATCATTGGTATAAGGTTGTGCATTTTTTTTCCATACCCAGCTGCAAACAGAGACCAGAGATGTCGCAACAAAATGTGTGGGCCAAATCCTAGTTATTATTAGCTTTGTTCATACTTTTTTTAGGGGTGTTCATACTAATTTGCAAGGCAGGCAGTACAAAAAAGTTTCACTCATTTATCTGCTATAAATATGCTGCAGAGTGTAGACTCGTACCTTTGTTTATGCACTTGATGCTTCTGGAAGTGTGATCACCCGAGATTTTGAGTCATATTCCAGCTCAGTGCTGCAACTGGAAATAGAACATTGCAACGATGCTTCTTAGAAATAAGCACATCAAGAGTGTAGACACGAATCTATGATAAAGGGACATACTTTGCACATTTCACTTTGTTTGTTGTACCACCACTAGAGACTGACAGTATAGTCCCAAAGAAGGAAAGGTTCTCAGTACCACAATTTGGACATGGCCCCTAGATCCCGAGAAAAATAAAATCATCAGTTTCCTTTCTGCTCCAATATATATACTCTGACATAAAGAATAATGGATAGTGCGACGGACAAATACCTTGAGGATTAGAAAGTCCTGGACTATAGCCTTAGTCAATAACTGTGCTAAGAACAATATTAGGGGCAAAGCAGCAAACCATGTGAAAATGAATCCGAAAGGCTCTGGCAGCTGCATTATTCAAGAAGAATGCAGAGTTAACAGAAGAAGGATGTGGACCTTGACCAATGACTTCAAGCATGGATAAATTTTTTATCCTCGAACCGGCAGAGAGCAAAGAATGCATATTAATAAGCAAATTGTGGTCATTCTTCAAAACTATAATTTGATACGTACAGCTTTATTATATAAAAAATATAAATACCAAGAAATATTTATTCTTTCAACATTTCTTGGATTAAGTAGTGGAGCTTTAGAGTGGGGGTGTGTCAGAGGGGCAATGGTCAGGATGTATCGCATATTTGGTCATAGCTTAGTAAGAAATTGGATAAAAAATAAGGTACTTGAATCAGGTGGACACTGACCTGGAACACATTGATCTCAAAACCAGTCAACTCATCAATGAAAAAGAACCTAAATGTAAGGAAAGTAATGTTAGATATTCATCAAGAGGGTGAACAAACACAACAAATTAGAGCCTACTAGCTTAAGTAAGTAATAGAATAACTGGAACAGTCATAGATATATAATAAAATAAGATTTAAGTATAAGGATGAAAGATCCAAGAATGAGGATGAACTCACAGTCCCAGAGCTACAGTGGTGGCTGGAACATTTAGCAGGAACATCTTTAGGTAGTCAACATTCAAGTCACTGTACACCTGTACCATATAGGATGCATATCAGAAAACTTACTTGCACAGAGTAAAAGGTAATCAACCATTGGAATACATAACTCCAATTCTAATAGATTTAAAACAATTATTTACCTTATGACTCCTTAGACTGCACCTGGGACCCTCCATCACAATAACACTGCCGTCTGTCTAACGAAGGTGATCGAACAGCATAGCAGAGAACTTGATCAGAGAACATGGACATGAAGTGTGTGTGTATATCCTTGCAAGTACACAGGATGGAAGGAGAGGCCAAACCTTTAATTTGATTTTCAGTTCGTCGAATTCAGCATCAGACATGATGGGGCTGCCAGCGGCATAGGCCATGGAAGCTTCCAAAAGCTTTTGCTCATCTTCACCTGGAAACAGCACACAGGAAAGTAGTAATTTGTATCGACGCCACCCCTATTTTTTGCGCAAAGACTTGAGCACAGGCTGTTAGTAGTGGAGCAAATAAACATATATGCTTACTTAGCATGACGACGCTGCTCCCCTCCCACATGAGCTCCTCCTTGAGGTTGTCAAACTCCTCGTTGGACATGATGGCCTTCTGGTCAAAGTAAAAGGCCTGGTTCGTTGGAGGGAACGCTCAATGATGAGACGTCAAGCGAAATTATATCAAAGAATTCCTTGTTGTAGGTAGGGTAAATTAAACCTGACAGGCTTGCAGGAACTCCTGCTCCATCTCTCCGAGCGTCTTCTTCTGCTTCCTGTCGATGTTGCAGTAGGGGAGGATGTTGCTGTCCACCACCTCGTCCTCTTGTTCCTGAACCTGGCCTGTCGAATCAAAGCGACAGCCACAGCAAGCAAACCAGTTATATATGAGTGTGTATTATTATATATACTTTGCTAGAGTAGATGGATATATAACCGAACTTATGCGTGATTAAGTCGAACAGGTGGAGTGCACCTGTTGAAGGATACCTTGCTGCTCGGTGGCGCGAAGACGGCGGCGGCGGCGGACGCGCAGCACAGGCAGGGCGCCGCGAGCAGGGCGGGGGCAGGAAGAGAACAAAGAGGCGGTTGTGGTGGCAGCTGGCTTGGAGCGGAAGCGAGGTGGTGCGTTGGAGAGGGATGGGAGGCGAGACGCCGGCGATAGCCACACCTCGGACGCCATGCCAAGGGCGTTGCGATCGAGGCGGTGACTGGCAGGCAAGCGACAGTGATCAGTACTAGGCGAGCGAGCGAGCTAGCTGGAGGGGAGAGAGAGAGAGAGAGAGACTATGTGTGGTGAGAGGTGTGGAGCAGCTGGGATAATAATGGAGTTGATTGGTGGGAAGGAGCTCTCCACTCCTGCCTGGGCAGTAGGAATGGGGATGTGTGGAGGAGGAGGGAAGAAGAAGAAAGCTCCTGCATGCGCGCGCGGCTTCGTTAGATTTCTCGACGCTTGTCGTGTGGTGGGAGCTCACTGCTGATCCTATGGATTTTTCCTTCTCTCAGAAAATGGGCACCAATTGCGACTAGCGAGCAATATTTGGAGATATTATTACTCTGCACCCTCGCTCGTGTAGCTTTGGCCATCCGACGCTGACGTTTACATTTGTGCCAAGTTGAGCGGCTACCTGCCAAGATGCAGTGTAGCTGACGTAATATTTCTCTATCTAGTTTTAGTCACGAATGATATGACGGGTTATTTGGATTCTCTGTGCCCCTCGAATATCCAGGTTATAAATTTTCTGGTGGTTCATGTGACTATTTTTATGTTTTTTTTTGTTGTTGTTGTTGTTTTTGTTGTTGTTTTGACACATATAGCGTGACTTTCTTGGCAATTTGCGACCTTGTATAATTTCAGCGGCCTCTGATGCTGATTTTTACGTACCCCGCCCCACCCACCCAAACCTCCAAAGGCCCCTAGAATGCCTTGAGAGTCATACCAAACGTGTTGGAACAACCAGAAGGTGTAGGCACAACCTTTGAATCATCCGCCTCCCGATGCCCTAGTAACCCCAAAAACACCTAAGAACATATCATTCGTGACCACCAAGGTGCAACGAACACATTCCTCTAGTGACTTAAACTTCACACATGGACTCTTAACAAAGTGGCCAACCAAGGCATTCGGTTCGGAAACACCATAGATCCATGAACCTATGTCTAGAGGCCTCGAGGGTCTATAACACCAAAGCAATGCATCATCTGGATCTCGAAACTGGCTCAAAAAAACATTCCATGGGTCACTAGACATCTAAGATGAGTGAATGATACATCCAAGCTACCCGGTAGTCGTCGGTACCCGAAATTGTTAGAAATTCCTGAGCTATAGGCACACGAAATGTTGCAGAAATGTGAAATTGACCCAAGAAGCAACACAAGCCTCAAAAAAGCCTCAAAACTCCTTCAGGTCACAGAGTGATTAGAAATTTGTGTCAGACATGCTTGAGTGACCAGAAGGCATGGAAGTATATCTCCTTCATATCCTAGGTCTTCCTGATGCCCTGTTATGCCAAAAACACCTAGAGAACATGTCATTTGCGGTCAGCAAAGGGAAAGAAACAAATGTCACTAGCCACTTGACCTCTGGAACACTTGAATGCAGCCTCTAGGCTGCCTAACAGTCGACCAGTCTGGGGTCTGTGCATGACACCTTGATCTTCAAGATGCCTAGGGACTCTAGAATAATACTATTGGAGCTATTTGTAGCGAAATTTTTCATATCAATTTCTCCTGATATCTATGATTAATTTGTATGCTATATGCCACTGACTAACCCCAGGAAACTAACATTTTTTGCAAGGTACTTCTATTTTATCCGTGTTGCAAAATAAGGTATATATATGGTGTAAAGATGCACTTGCTAAAGATCCAGAAGATCAAACAAGATTTAGAATGCCGTGGGCGCCCAGGACAAGCTTAGTGGGTCTAGGAGGGCCCAACATTCGCTAGAATGGGCCACACGTCATCCAACGCCATCTTCAAGAAGCTTTCTAATCAACCCGTTACGCTGAAGTAATCTCCATCGGATGAGGATTGATTTGGCGCGCAGTAGATGGCACCACCCAACTAATGCTGCAGATTTTGGACACCGTAGCAACCAGAGGGCGTGAGGAAACCCTCACACTAGGAGGCCACACCACGCCAACGTTGCTAAGCACTTCCTATATGGAAATGCTCTCATTAGGCCGTTCGGACGCTCCCGTTGTCGTGGGCTGCGACGGCCCGAACGGCCCACTGCGTTTTGTCCTCAACAACTCCACTCTAAAAGTTTGTAAAAACAAATCACTCCAGACTGGCTTCAGTTGACTCCAGACACGCGACCTCTCCACTCACCGCTAGTCTCACGCCGCCGCGGATTACGGCGTGGTACACTCCGAACTTTCCCTCGCAGGCCGCAACCATGGCGGAAGACGCCCCTAACGCTGCCGCCGAGGGTAGCCAGCCCGTGCCCCCGAGGGATCTGCCGATGCCACCCTAGCGGCTACCGTGGGTGCCGAGGCCGCGGAGGTGTTGCTCCCGTCACTCAGCATTTGGTCGCCATCGTAGCGCACATGCGACGCAGTGGTGCGCCGCCTCGTGCAGATGTCGAGGCGCCCAGCATCCTCTCCCAACGTTATGGCACCATCCCGGAGCCCGATGCTAAGCGTGCCGCCGTGGCCCTCGAGGCCGAGGCCTTCGCCATCGTCTCCAAGTCTGTCGCCGCCGAGTCCCCGGCCTCCGTCGAGGAGGGGGCTACCGCAGTTCCCCACCAGGTAGGTCGTGGCCGCTGGTTTCAAGTGTTTCAAGTGTTTTTAGACATGTTGCAAGCCTATGTTTCAGATATATGTTTCAAATATTTCATACGGATGTTGCATATGATGCAATTGTTGTACACGTATGTTGCAAGCGTTTCTTCCCAATGTTTTATCTGTTTTTTCAGTTGTATGTTGCAAGTGGGTTTTTTTAATCTGGACGTTGCATATGTTTCACATATATATTGCAAGTATTTTATCTGGATATTGCGAATGTTTGTAATGGTTTTCAAGTATTTTTCAGATGTTTTTGCAAGTGTCGCATGTTTCAAGTGTTTTATCTGTCTTTTTTTGTATTTTGCAAGTGTTGCATCTGGATGTTTCAAAAGTAAATTGGGTGTTGCATATGGGATGCGTGTGGGAAGCGGGAGGTGCGTGACCAGTCCTCGCGTGCGGTCTGGCAGCACGGGCAACGTCCGGGGCGCCACGAGTCTGCTCTGGGGCGCTCACTTGCAAGTCCGACACTACTGGGGCACTCGCTAGCTCGCTGCGTGGGCACCGTCCGACGCTAGCGCCCCGGTTTGAACTTACGGGTGCTAAGCAACGCTTCATATAGGCATGAGGATTCATCTTACCGGTCGACCTCCCAGCGTGGTCAATCGTGTGGGGCTCCAAGGAAGTTATATTATGAGATCGTATGGGGTGCGTGCATAACCAAAAGCAAAAGCAAGAAGAAAAATGTGAAAGCAAATCTCTTTCGAAAGAAATTCAACTGCACTGTACTGGAGTACGTAGTAGTTTCTCACGCAGCAAGCAGTTATACATTACAGGCGGGATACTTAGCAAGCAATGTTAGATATTTTGGACCATCTAGGTGTAGATCAAAGGGTGATATCTTTACTAATTGAATAAATAGACTAGAGCTTGCTTTGGGAAAAGAGATAGAGAGAGATGTAGGAGCATCTGACCGTCGGAGGGGTTGGAGGAGCTCCCTATCATCGCTGGTTCGTCAGTGTAGCTCTGCGCACGGGCAGCGACGGTTGGTGTAGCGGTGGAGACCGGCGGTGGTGGCAAATGCAGTGGTGCTTCCCGCCGCTGGCAGTGCCTCCCTCGCGATCGGACTAGGGTTAGACGGTGGGGTTGTGGCGGCAACAGTGAACCTCGTATCAAAAGCCGTTTGCCCCACCTCCTCTTTATAGACACTGTGCGACGAGGGACCCACTAGCCACTAGATGGCCCATCTAGACGTCCCCGATCAAGACGTGGTCAAGGGGTCCATTTCGACCGTTTGGTCAAAACGGATGAGATCAATTCTAGCAAACACTACTTACTGTAGTAATAAGTAAGCAATGCGATTGCAATTTCTTGTGGTTTCGAAGACGACAACTACTTCACCTCATCATCTCCTTCCCTCGATCGCCTCACCTCGACGACTTATACTACAAATAAATAAATTATCCGCGCGCGATAGACACGAGCAGGCATTGCACCCTCCGCCCTTGCGCTGTACTACATCTCGCCTCGCTCGACGATGGGGCTCGTCTCCGGGATGGTGGCGGGGCTGCTGCTGGGCGTGGCGCTCATGGCCGCCTGGAGCAGGATGATGCGCCGCCGCACCACCAAGCGCGTCGCCAAGGTACCTACTGCACGGTTGGTTGTTTATTTGTTGGCAATCTATCTGGGAATTGAAGTAGTATTCATTCATTTGATTTCATACCCAACCCACTAGTATATCTGTACACATGCTTCAAAACGGTTATTTGCTCTTTGGGTGCCCTTCGTTGTCAATCCAAAATTTATGTCGCGCTAATTTCATGCTGCTTTGAAAATTTAGCGATATATAACCCGGTATATGTTCATATGTCTCCTAAACAGGCAGCTGACATCAAGATCCTTGGCTCACTCTCAAGAGACGATCTGAAAAAACTATGTGGTGACAATTTTCCTGAATGGGTGTCATTTCAACAGTTTGAGCAGGTGACAAGCAACTGCACCTATCTTCTTTCTTATGAAAAAAATATTTAATAAACTTATGTCCTGAGATTAAAAAAAAAGAGTTTGCTTCAATCCTTTGCATCCTTGATGGCTACTTTATTATATTTTTTTTAAGTACGCCTTTGGTTGATCTATCTGTCATCGATCCATCCATTGAAACTGTTTGACTTTGTTGCTATTTTCATGTTGATTCGTCAAAGAGGTTTGTCTGTAGAGTGTGGACAAAATTTTGTGGGGCTAATGCAATTCTCTTTGAAGTAAAACAGTTTTAAAAATCTTGTCTTCTGCTATAACTGCAATTATAAACCTTCTTTTTTCGAAAGACGGCAAAAGCTTTGCTGGATTTTTATTAGACGAGGAAAAAAGGAAAAAAAAAAAGGAGATTACAGAATTACAAGAACAAGACTACACTCGCCACTACTCTGGCACACAGGCCAGCCCCCCAACTCTGTACAGCACCTGCAGCACGAAAAACAAATTATAAACCTTTCTGTTCATATGCGCAAAGGTCAAAGCCTGAAATAATATGTGTTACTACATATGTTTCATAACTTATTGGACATGAATTTTGTTGCTCTACAGGTAAAGTGGCTGAACAAACACCTAAGGAAACTCTGGCCTTGTATAGCACAGGTATAAAAAAATGAACTCGGTACAAAATAATTTCATTCATTTTACTTACATCGATTCACCAACAGCCAAATTTCCAATTCATTTCGCACTTGGGACTGTTGAACCTAGCTTTATGACAATTTATCTCTTCTACTTGGTATTAGGCTGCGACATTGGTTGTCAAGGAATCTGTTGAACCACTACTCGATGATTACCGCCCTCCGGGAATAAAATCACTCAATTTTAGCAGATTTTTCCTTGGAAATGTGCCACCAAAGATAGAAGGTTGCTCTCTAACCTAAACATATGAAGCAATTCATAGCATTCTCATCATGCTCATCTTGTCTACATAGATTAGGTAAATAATTCAAAATGACATTCATTTGTTACAAGATGTTTACATATGCAGGATCCTTTCTTGAATCTTGAACCTATGTAAGTGCAATCAAGTAACTAAACAACTATAACTTGCTGAGAGAAAAATATGATTAGAGCATTGCCTTAATGTCATTAGATTACTGGTTTGAGCACAGCTCCTATCCACCCATCATGTTAAGAAATCGACTAGATCCAAATACATAGGGATATTACCTATCATGCCATCCGGGAAATGCGACACGATAATCAATTTCCGATAAGGAGAATGTTTTTGTTTTCCTCAAATACAGATAAGCACAGTGTCGTGTAGCACTCTACTTTGTGATGCAATATAGAATTGGAGGAGTTTAAATTTACTTTTATCTTTTATTTATGAAGGTATTCGTATCCAAAACCTCCAGCCAGGCCAGATCATCATGGACATTGATTTTCGGTGGGGTGGAGATCCAAGCATAATCCTAGCTGTTGATTCCATTTTTGCTTCATTGCCCATTCAGGTTTCACATGATACTAGTTTGTTCAGCCATACATTGTTTGGAGCACCGCGACCGTTCCGGTGTACTATTGAGTAATGTTAACTTTTACATGAACCTACATATTTTCAGCTCAAGGATCTCCAGGTATTCACGGTCGTACGTACTATATTTCAGCTTTCTGAAGAGGTCCCCTGCATCTCTGTCGTTGTGGTGGCTCTCCTTGCAGAGGCATGTAATCCTTGTGGATTCCTGGAATTTTTACCCTATGGCATCATCATATTATGGTCTCTGATGTATTCATTTTGTGCCCTTTATATTGCTTCAGCCAAAGCCGAAAATACAGTACACCCTCAAGGCTGTGGGAGGAAGCCTTACTGCTATTCCAGGGCTTTCTGATATGATTGATTAAAAAAAAAAAGGGCTATAAGATTTAAATATTTTTATTGGTTGGTGTTGTGAATTTACCATGACAACTTTTCTATCTCCAAATACATGATACTGTGAATTCAATTGTTACTGACATGCTTCAGTGTCCACACAGGCTTGTGGTTCCACTTGGAGTCAATGTTGATACAAGGTTAGTTTGTAACCCTGGGTTTACTGAGCTAAGGATCTGATAACATACAAGTAGCAATGCAAAAAAAAATAGAGCCAGCGGGTGGCACTATTGGATTCTGATCTGAGTGAAGTATTTGTTTGCATTTTTCTTCAGTGAGATGGAGCTGAAACCTCAGGGCAGACTTGCAGTGACAGTAGTAAAAGCAACTTGTTTGGTTAATATGGAGATGATTGGAAACTCTGATCCTTACGTGGTATTGTATATCCGTCCCATGTTGAAGGTGAAAACGAAGGTCGTCGATCATAACCTTAATCCTGAATGGAACGAGACATTTCATCTGATTGTTGAAGACAAGGAAACACAGGAGGTTATATTTGAGGTCTTCATCTTCTTCTTTTGCTTCAACTTCAAGCCTTTGTGACTTTGTAGTATTTGTTTAGCAACAAAATAAAACAGAAACAAAAGAACGCCCTGACGCCGGTGGTGAGTTTTTTTTTCAGATTTACGATGAGGACACTCTTCAGCAAGACAAGAAAATGGGTGTGGCTAAACTGGCAGTGAACAGCCTTGAACCTGAGAGCCCAACGGAGATCACCCTGAATGTGCTGAGTCACTAGATTCACTCAAAGTGAAGGACAACAAGGGTAGAGGGACACTGCATCTCAAGGTTGGTCAGCTGTTGGTGTCTCCTGGCTATCTCCAACGGTGCAGACCCAAACCGGATACCCATACCGTGGTTTAGGTCATGCACAGTAGAAAGGTAGCACACCCAAAACTTTCAATCTCCAACAGCGCGACCGACCTCGAAGCTTCCTACGGCCGGATCCAACGACGCCGCCACGGCGTCCACGGCCGCCCCGGTCTTCGCGCCCCCTCCCCCCTGCGCCGACTCCGGTCCTCTCCGCCGCCCCGGCTTGCCCTCCGCGTAGCGGACTCGCGGCCACACCGGCCGGTCCTACGCGCCACACGGTGCGTGCGGCGCCTCGCCCTCGCGCAACCCCGGCCGCGCCCCGCTCCCGCCGCGGACCCGTCCCAGCCCCCGGCCGGAGTTCCTCTTTCCCTCGGTCGAGCGCGCGGGAGCGCCAGCGAGCACCTCCGCCCCTCCCTCCCTCCCTCCGGCGTTCCCTCCCTGCGAGATCCGGCGAGCGCTGGGCGAGCGCCAGCGAGCACTTCCGCCCCCACGCGGCGCTACTCATCACCGGCGGTGGGGGAGCGGGTCCAGATCCGGCAAGGCAGCCAAGGCTGGCGGCTCCTCTCCCCACCTGCGGCGCGCATCCTCCTGCGGCGGCAGACATGGCGACGGTGCTGCAGCGCGCCTCCCTCATCTCGCGCCTGCGAGCGGGCAAGGCACCCGGCCATGGTGGCCCTCCCCAGATCCGGGGCAGCGGTGGGGGCGCGGCGCGGATCTGGGACGGCGATGCGGAGCCCCCCTCGATTGTGGCCGCGGCGAGGCGGAGCTGCCGCGCGGCCGCCGTGTTGAGCCGGCTCCGGTCGTCCCCTTCCTCGTGGTGCTCGTGGTGGTGGGCCTGGCGGAGACCCAAAGAGACGGAGGGAGGACGCTTTTTTGCCAACCGTGTCGCGTCAGATCCAAAATGGGTGATGTGTTTGCCTACTCGGTTGGAGATTGATTTTCGCTGTCAAAATACTGTACGCGATGTATATTTGGGGATGGGTCACGTTATTGGTTATTGGAGACAGTCTAACAAGCTGCGTCTGATTCTGATCCAAACCTGCTCTGCTCATCACTTCATCAGGTCGTGTACCACCCGTTGACGAGAGAGGAGCAGGTGCAGGCCATGGAGATGGAGAAAAAAGCCATGGAGGAGAGGAAGCGGCTCAAGGAGGCCGGGCTGATCGGCAGCACCATGAACGCGCTGGGCGACGCCGCCTCGCTGGTGGGCTCCGGCGTGGTTGGCGGCGTGGGCCTCGTGGGCTCCGGAATCGGCGCCGGAGTGGGCCTCTTTGGCACGGGGATCGGCGCCGGAGTGGGCCTCGTGGGCTCCGGAATCGGCGCCGTGGGAAGTGGGCTTGGCAAAGCGGGAAAGTTCATGGGCCGAACCGTCACCGAGAGCTTCAGTATGCATCGGAAGCGCGACCAGCAGCAGGTCATGTCACGCTCACGTTCACAGACAACCTGAAGCTGAAGCTAATTGACGGACGCAGGCAATGTCTTCCAAACCTTTTTCATTTTTTCCCTGAGCTTGCATACTCCCCTGTCCCCTCGGAAAAAAAAAAGAGAGAACAAGCTTTCAGACATGCCCGAACCAACTCCAACGTTAGGCAGTCAGCCAAATTTAAAAAGTTTATCAAGACTGTCGACTGCTCTCTCTGTTCCTTTAGGGCTACTTTGGCAGCCGCAGGGTGATTAACTGAGAAAAGTGATCAGGTGGGAGGAAATTTCCTGGACAAGGCAATCCCCGCCCACCTGCTGGGGGATATCCCCGCATGGGGTAACTTCTCCGTTGCTATTTGGAAGCTTTCCTAGGGAGATAATCACGTATTCACGTGTTGGTTTATAACTGTTGGCTTGGACAAACCAGCAGTATGTATGCATGAAGGATCATCCGATGATACATATGTTAGATAAAAAACATAAAATGCTAGTGAATAAGAAAGTGAGTAACATAAGAAAACATGCTAAACAAGGGGCAGAAATCCCAGTATATAACAAATATCTCAAAAACTAAAAAAAAAGGTCACATTCAAACTACGCATGCTGTCTAAACGAAAACGTTAGATTCTTTCTGAAACCAAAAACTGAAACATGCAAAACTCAAATTTAACCAAAAAAATATTTTGACAACATTTCTATGCACTTTATGAAAATTCTGCAAGGCGTAATATGTCACAGGTCTCTCCATACAAATACATAGATAATTAAAATATAATATAATATAATATAATATGATACTATCTACCATAATCAATTAAAAATTTGACACTTTTGCAGCTTCCTCAATGTTGCAGACAATTTCTTTGGATCAACATCTTGATGTAAACCTTGTTTATATGTTAAACTCCTGCGGATACATTGAGTAAAAATTAGAGTAGAGACTACATAATAGTAAGGTTGCAAAATCACATCATGGTAACCATATGTTGAATGGAAACCCTAAACTGAGAAAAAAGTGTAAGAATGTTCAGAACTAACATTCTAATCACATAGGCATATAGAACTAGAATTAGCTTGCAACATCCTTTGTAATTGTGCAATTGACTTTTACTTTCAGAATTCAAAGGAAGATCAAGTGCACACCACACAACAGTCAATGTCCTTAAAAAACCATGATGACGTAAGCTATCGCACATTGCAATTCAAATGTTCCAGGTTGCTAACCATAGATGGTTTTTAGAAAAGCTCAATGGAAAAGAATTTTGCTGAATTATTTGCACAACAAAAATGTCTGACTGAATGTTTATCAATGGATTGATTATAAGGTCTGAGTTGCTATCTGGATGCTAATCTAAACAGGGTTATCATTATGAAATCAAGGAATTGTCAACACAAAGTAGATGGAAAGGAGAAACACCTGCTTATCATTATAAATTGGAACTGTGTATGGCGCTATCAAATAATGTATTCCTTGCTGATCAAAGATCTAATATTAGTAATAATTTGAACCAAACAAAAATGCTAAAGAAAGCTGTTTGATATATCTTTGAAACTTAGCTCTGAACTATGAAGTTCATATCTGAAAACAATTTGAACAAATCTATAGTATCAATCTTCTTGGTGTATCAAATGGCCTTGTTCAGGTTAACTAACATACCAGGATCAATAGTTTTGAAGCCATTCAAATTTGCCAAGAGACAGCAGTTTGCTAACTCTGAAGGTGAATCTTGAATTCTTAATTCTGTACCAAATTTACCAAACTTTAGGACCTTATATTTTAGATACTGTTGATAATTCGCTATTGATCCTTAAACCAATATAGTAGCTCACTGTACCAGAAATAACTTTTGTTAAGGCCGACTAAATCATTTACACATGAAATCAAGAGATAGATTGGAGGGGGTAACTGAGTGAGATTATGACTGAACTCGAGTTCAGTTAGCACCGGCGGCGGCAGTCTGCTCTGCCACGCAGCTGCTTCACCTACTCACCGTTGAGCGCCACCGCTAAAACGCGTCGCCCTTGCTCCGTTGACACACAACTGCTCTGTTCCTCCAGCTCAACACAAACAACCAGCTGCTATCCAAACCTGGATCTACAAGGGCCAGTGAGAGGAACAGAGAGAAGAAACCCTAGCAGAGGCAGGGAGGTGCAGATGGAGGAGGAGGTTTGGGATTCACCATGTGGAGGCGGAGGTGCTGGTAGAGGAGACGCAGCAGAGGCGACGGCAAAGGGGACGATCCATGGTGGCGACGGCGGAAAGGGCGGTCTCAATCGAGGCGGAGTCGGGGAGGAGCAGCGATGCGCGATGCGTCGCGACTCGTGAGACAACGGGCAGGGAAGCGCTCCCGGCCTGATGACTCGTGGCTTCCTGCCCCGTGGAAATCGAAGGGATTGGGGCTGCAATTCCACGTTTCGTGGACTTCCAAATGGCACTAGGAATTGGCCCAGGGGAGCTTGCCCCGTGTTTTCCTGGCCCGGGGAAACTACAGGGAACCCGGCGGGATTATGTGCTGCCAAAGTAGCCCAGGGTATAGTATACTAGTAACTAGTCAGACAATTGGACTTAGAAAAAAATCTTGTACGTATACCGTTTCTTGTATGTATATACCACCTGCCTGATACTGAGAATAAGTCTTCTAGCGGCATCACATCACATGCCCGGCATCACATGCCTGTGTGTTGGTATAAAACTATGTTATATGCACAAAGTCCTCTGGGTTTCTTCTTCATCTCACCTGTTTTCATACGAACAAGATACATGTTTCCGATGTGCATGCTCCTTTCAAATAGAAATGAAGCAAAATACCAAAATGATTTGCAGCCACCATGGTTTAGGGGTTCGAGAGTGTGCATGTCCTATCACCCCACAAAAAGAAAAGCGCAAATAAATGTGATGCTAAATCTGATTGACCATAGAATAAAGCTTAACAGACTGCTCTAAAAGTAACTGCTTTAACTAGAACATGGCTACACTCGACTCACATGCAGTGTTCTCGAAAGCAGTACATCAGAGACAAGGCAAGGACCCCCATTCTCGCAGCAAATTCAGAAAGACAAGCTACAATGGTCCGAAACTTCCTACAGCTTTGCCGCCACCTATCAAAAGGTGTTTCCGGTACACTGAGGACAGAGTACTCGGTTCCTCATATTCAAATTAAAGCTCAAGACCTAATAATTTCTCGATTATTCCAATTCTAACCATTTGATTGGCTTTGTAATCTTGTTTTACACCATTTTACCAGGCCATTCCAGTCCCCTCAGCTAATATCGCTCTAGAAGTAATGCCACTCTTATCTAATCCAGCACTCAACTTCAATGATACAGTTCCCAATTCAGTTCCATGAACTAGATTATTTTCCATTGCATACCTCCAGGCTTTCCAGAGCGTAATGATTATCATGGTATCATTACCAAGAACTAAAGGAAGACAAAAAGTCTAAGACAATGATGGTTCTGAGTTGTGATGATGAAGATATTGCACTGAGCTAGCTGTGTAAGTCTATAACAATTTGATTTGATACAATAATAATTATAAGAATGTGTTCTCAATGAATCGTCCAAATAGGGAATTAATTGACTAGAGGTGGGAGCAAAAGTTTCGGAGCTTCTATCTTATTTTCTGAAGAAAGAAGTAGATAGAGAACTAGAGTTGGGATGTACCATAATTTAAATAGGATTGAGCCAACATATGTCCAAGCTGGACTTGAGCTTGGGTGCTTAGATGCAGATGGCCGTCTTGCAACGGCAACCCCATTGCATCAACGAATCTGACGTTGCGAAGTTTAATCCCTTTCTGAGCATCCCGTACGACTTGAGTATAGTGTCCTAGGCCTGATGCTAACCCTACCTGAAACATGTGGAGAACACAGGGGAAAAAAGGAATTAGTGCTGTGCGGGGATGCGGTTTCTGTTCATAATTAGTCGTTGGGTCTACCAAAACTACGGTTGGTTGGTAGAGCATTCAGTTCTAGTGCAAGGTTCAGAAAGCGTGGTAGGTTAAGGTATTGGAGCAAAATGGATAATTCCAGTACAGAAACAAGGTGGTGTGAAGTGTGAACGCGGGCATGTGCTTCTGTGTCAAATGATGAACACTCAACAATACTCGAGGCTAATGATGAAGGTGACGAAAGATGTCGGAATGCTGCATTTGTAGGCTAACAACAACCTTTTTTGTAAGCTTCGTGGTGTATACTTGCAATAAGGCAGGAGTTAAACGCGAGGAGCAAGGGCCACGGTAATAATGCAGCAACCAGGTGTCCAGGTACAGCAATTACCGTGGCTTGGTCCAGTACGTGGCTTTGTGTAGGTAGGTGCTGTACGCTTGATGCTGAATGTCGTTGAGGTGGTGTGTGGTCGGTGGTCCGGTGGTGGAATGGAACGTGAAGTCACCGGCTCCGGCGGGTACTTGCTTTGCTTGTGAGAACGGGAATGAGATCGATAGAGTAGCATATACCAACCGTGCTTGCCTTTGTAGTCAGTGGTGGGGTGCTGAGACGAATCGAATTGTGTTGTTGCAATCCGAGGCAAATTAAGCCATGGATGGATCATGGATCACCACATAAATATTACTGTACTAATAACTGATGCAATGGAATGCAAGTTTATTTATTACCTGGATGACGAGGAGGTGCGGGATGCCGAGGTCGGCGCGGAGGTCGCGGACGAGCATGCCCATCCGCCGCCCGTACTCGGTGGCGTCGGACCACCTGACGGTGTCGCTCTCCCCCTGGTACCACAGCAGCGCCCCGATGCGTCCCCCGGTCTCGACGGCGACCCTGGCCCGGCGCAGCATCTCGGCGTAGAGCTCCGTGCCCTTGCCCCACTCGGCCATCCGCGTGCCCCCCACAGCGCAGGGGACGAGCCCCACCACGGGGCTCCCCGCGTGGCCCGACCGCAGCAGCGCGTTGGCGAACGCCATCCCGGGGCCGACCCCGACGGCGTGGTGGTCGGCGTCGATGCCGGCGTGCAGCGGCTCGTGGGCCTCCTCCCACCGCAGGTCGGGCGAGAGGCGGAGCACCGCGGGGGACGGCGCGCAGTCCCCCGGCACCACGCCGTCCCAGCGGTCCGCCACCACCCCGCCGCGCCCGGCCATGTTGGACTGCCCCGCCAGGATGAAGATCAGCTTGTTGGACGGCGGCACGTCCGTGCCGGCGACGGCGACGGCGACGACGAGAGCAGGAGGAGGAGCAGCATTGTCTTGGTTTGGGTTGGTGATCTTCAACCCCGAGCCTTGTTTGCGTTGCTATACTGGTTTGCATGGTTTGCAAGCCGAGCGACCGAGGTCAGACAAGCAGCCCACCCACTGACCCACTGACTGACATTCTCAGAGGGATGGACGCCCCTCTGAGAATGTCTCACGTGCTCCTTCCGCCGATTCAGACTTTTTTAAACAAAGATCCTTCGTGTGAACACGTCCTTCGTTCCATTACTTTAATCAATCGCCAAGTGCCTTCATCTACTCCCTCTATAAAAAAAAATAGTGCAATTCTCGATTCGCGAATCAATCAATTTCAAGTGTAATTAAATCTATACAAAAAAGAAAGTACGAGTAAAATATAAGATTTCAAAATTAAATAAAATATTTAGAGATCAAGAAGCTGTCTTTGAAGGCTTTCAAGAATAAGAAAAAAAATCCCAAAAAGAATCTATTTGATGTCTAGATACATTTGAAAATTTTCATGTAACAAAAACATGATAGAATATTTGATCAAGAGTAAGATCAATGCCTCGCAAAAAAAACATGATATCCAACCAGCATACTCTTAAACTTATGTTGCATGTTTGCTGATTGCATATCATATTTTTGTTGTAGTGTGTTTTAAACACATATATGAACATTTTTGGACTTTTTAGATTTTTTATGAACATGTTTTCCACTTTTGTAGAGGCAAATCTAATTTCATGAAGCTTGCAAGTATATTTTCACAGTCTCTAAAACATTTCATTTGTGGTTTGTCATGTCTCATTTCATCTCCATATTTTTTTGGCCCCGAAACCTTATTATGTATTTATTAGATTTTTAAATAAGTTAAGAATGATGAAGCTACCTTGGAAACCACTCTTAACTGAGCAGAGAGACAAGAGCCAAGAGGGTATTCAATTGGTAAAAGAGATATTTCCCAAAAAGAATACCGAGATCATTTTATCGGGCCATATGGGTTCTCTAGACCGGCCCATTTACCAGGCTGGCATACAAAGTTTATGCCTTAGACGGGCTTTGTAGAATCGGCTCGCCGCTGTTCTTCTAGCAATTACTGGTTTATTATTATCATCACTACTGTGGTCTGAGTCCGATGACCTAGATGGATGGGTCGTGGTCGTGGATGTGAATCTGGAAAGGGCATGGGCCACACACACAGACAGAGTGCCCTACCCTACGTAGATTGGATTTGGATAGCTGGCACCGCGTGCTGTGGCCGCACTAGGACAACATGTGGCACATCGCATGTCGTTGACATTTTGAGCCATGGGCAACAAACATTAAACGACATCATCAAAAGGACAAGAAGGTTTAGTTCCAACACCTGACAAAATGTTTATATATGACAGAAAAAATGGTGGACGAACTGCATGTAACTCAACCGGTCTCCTAAGGTGGGTTTAAGTTTTTAATTTGGTGTGGATACTTCGTAATTCTAATATTTAACTACATCCATCCAAATTTAAACTATTGATTCAACATGGATAATTATATTTTTACATTTATTCTAAAATTTAAGAATACTTTTTCTGTGATATGCAACTCCGGTGTTGACTTATGTCAGAACTGAGTTTGGAAGAAACAGTTGCTGGCCTGGCTACAGTGCTTTGAGAAGAGAGCGGTCCAATCTAGATGTCTAGGGTACGACAGGAACGTTTGCAACATGGACCTGGCTAGAAGGTTGTTAGCATGTTGGTTAATTTTTACCTTATCTGATAATCTTCTTGTTTGGATTACTTATTAGGCATAACATTAGATAGAACTAACTAACAATTAGAGCATCTCCAAAAGTATCTAAAACACTCCCAATCTAGGATTTTTGGTAGGGTAGGAAAAAAAATCATCTCCAAAAACTCATAATCCTACCTTCCAATCTTTTAGCATTTGGGAAAAAAAACCTTTGGCACGTAAAGATGCGCGGACTAGAAGTCACGTGTATCCCCTCCTGCCGATCTAAACGCGCGTATGGTGTGGCTAATCTAAAGGTGGAAGGACGCGGAAAGAATAAAGAGTAGTAAAGGGTTTCCGATGCAAATGTACAAGAGAAAAACAATTTTATAAAAGTGGTTAGGATAATTTAAAAATAGTATAGGATTACTGATGCAAAATTGTATTCTTATCTTATGAGTGGATTATTAGAAATTGTTGGAGATGATATTAAACTTTCTTTGGCCCAAATTATTAAAAAAAGAAAGCCAAACAATGCCAAATATGGGAAAATTTGATCAGGCGGATCTTATTTATTCCTCCGATATTTTTTAGAGGTTGAAAAACGACATGTTTTTAGGAAAATAAAATATGTACTTTGGAGATGCTCTTAGCTCTAATAACAAATAGACCGTAATCCTTAGTACCTATTCATCTATTTATTTTAGTTTGATAATAGGTTGCCTTTTCCTTTTTATATAATTTCTGTGGGGGCAAAAACATGTTCGTGCAGTGCAGTTTGGTAGAAGCGTTGGTAACGCAAATGTAATGGATTTAAAGCTACGGATGTTACCACAAGCCATTCGATTTGAACTAATATTATTTCCGTTTGCGTTACCGTAGAGTGAACCAAACACTGCCATGGTTACTTCTCTCGAGAGGTAGCATCGTTATCTCTTCCTTGGCATTTAGAATCTATACCACTCTTACAAATGTAAAATTGACATCAAATTGACTAAACTTAAATAGCTAACTATTGTGCGCACCTATTGAGTGAGTTTACAAAAGGCGAAACAAGCAATAAGCCCACACACGTGCAGACATGATGTGATACAACATCAATAATGATTTTACAATTATACAGCTTGTTCGTTTGTTGGTTTTAGCCAGCGAAGACTTATCAGCCAGCCAACAGTGTTTTCCTCTCACAACAAACCAGCACCGGCCGGGCTGAACCACGTGGCTGTCGCGCGGTAGAGCCGCACCAAACGATACATGTAGTAGGAGCACTCATGGCGTGAAATTGTTGAGTAGGAGCCGTTTTTCTCGTATGGAGGTACAATTTCAGGCTTGGGCGGAAGGGTTTTCGGCTCCAGCACTGGAGCATGTGAAGCAAAGCCCCTCTAAACATGCCCTAAACTCAAAGCGAGAAGATTAAAAGTGAGAGACGACAAAGATCCACGCACTGGATGCGTGGGAATGCATGCGGTGCGATGCGCGCGTGAGCGACCAGTGACCGTGGCAGAGACAAAGGATATCCGTGACCCACGCACGTTGCCGGTGCTGCCGTGGCGCCCCACTGCATACTGAATGCACCTCCGCTCCGCCATTTGATGCCAATTCCATGGCTGCTTGCTTTCTTTTTGATGGCCTGTGCTGCAATGGCAATGGCAAGAGGATGACTGGATGAGGTGAAATAATTAATTCACTGCAGCTGCACAGCCTGTACTATGCTGTAGCGTCGGCGCCTCCCTTCCCTACCACCGCCACCGCCACCGCTGTAGTTACAGTGGCTGCGGTAGTTGCCCTTCCTGTCCTGTCCTGTCCTTCCCTAGAGAGCGAGCATACAGCAGCGAGCGAGCACCGACTGGTACGTCCCTTCACGTGAGTGGAGCGAGAGTGACAGCGCCAATGGCCCCTGTGCTCGTGCTGCTGCTGCTGCTTTCATCTCCCTCTTCCTCCTCCTGGCCGCACCAGGTGCAGAGGCCGCCACCGCCTCCAGCCCGACGCTGGTGTTCCTCCTGGCGGGGCAGTCCAACATGGGCGGGCGCGGCGGCGCCACCAACGGCACCTGGGACGGCGTGGTGCCGCCCGACTGCGCGCCCTCCCCGCGCATCCTCCGCCTTTCCCCGCTGCTGCGCTGGGAGGAGGCCCGGGAGCCGCTGCACGCCGGCATCGACCTGCACAACGTGCTCGGGGTCGGCCCCGGGATGCCCTTCGCGCACGCGCTCCTGCGCTCCGGCCGCCGCCGCCGCCCCGCCGGCGTCCCGCCGCACGCTGTCCTCGGGCTCGTCCCCTGCGCGCAGGGCGCCACGCCCATCGCCAACTGGTCCCGCGGCACGCCGCTGTACGACCGCATGCTCGCGCGCGCAAGGGCCGCCGTCGCCAATGGATCCAGCAGGCTCGCCGCGCTGCTCTGGTACCAGGGCGAGGCCGACACCATCAGGCGCCAGGACGCCGACGTCTACACGTCCCGCATGGAGGCCTTCGTCCGCGACGTCCGCCGGGACCTCGGCATGCCGGACCTGCTCGTCATCCAGGTCGGGCTGGCCACGGGGCAGGGCAAGTTCGTCGACATCGTCAGGAAGGCGCAGAGGAGGGTCAGCCTCCCCAACGTCAAGTACGTGGACGCCAAGGGCCTGCCCGTCGCCAGCGACTACACGCATCTCACCACGCCGGCGCAGGTGCAGCTGGGGAAGATGCTCGCCGCCTCCTACCTGGCAGCCGCCCTCTGAGTCTGACTCCTGCTTCTTCATTCTCATTGCCATTCCTTCCTTGTTGTATTAGATTACAATTGCTACCAAATTACACCCATCAGGCACACCGCTTCCTGTGTTGCTTACTGATGGTGAAAAATTGAAAATGAAATGGTCATTCCTGGGGTCGCCGTAACAGAAATGTTATGTTACAGACCCATTAACCGCATTGTACCGTGTACGGGATTATTAATCAAGTCAGTATTAACTGCTCATTTCTGGCCAACCAATCGATGCACGCAGTTCATGCTCTTCATTCACAGTACTAGCACCAGGTAAACTTGTACGGAACACGCCACGCTGTTCAGCTACCAAGTAATTGCCCACTAACTGCTCTGAGAGGCAATTAAGTTTTAACAGCATGTATGTATTCATGCTTCAGGTCCAAAGAGAGAGCTCTACAAAAGCCGGCGACTTCAAAATTGTGACTCTACTGAAGACATGCAACAGATGGTGCCTAAAAGCCCAAAGCAAGCAAGCAACAACCTAGAGATGACAAAGCTCTGAACCCAACATTCGGAGTATCTGTTAGCCTGTGATGTTACTACCTGACACGGCAACATCATACATCAGTTGTAGTATACATGTAAACCTAGCTACTGAATACTCCTAGTTTCTTTTTTTTTTTTTTTAGAAACGAATGCTGGAGCTGCCGATTATATTAAAAAAAAAAGGTCCGGATAAAAAACAACAAAGTTACAAAAAAAAAGCCCCAAGGGTCAAGAACACTCCTACTTTCATATCTGCGCCTCAGAATGTCTGGGGAGATTGCTCAGAATATGCCTACCATATGGTTACCTTGCCAGTTGCCTCAAAAGAAGCTGGGCTGCAACTTTCAGGCAACTGATGACTTCTTTTCATAACGCTAGTGGAGGACTGTCCTGCTTGGTGTCAATATGTACTGTACTATCTCTTGTGTGCTACTGCTATAGTTTCCTTGTCAGCTTTCACTTTCAGTAAACTAGCACCGTTCAACATTGTTGGACTTCTGAAACTGACATTCCTAAATGAATTGGAAAGGGCTAAAGTTTCAATAGGCAACATCTGTATTAGTATATTCTCTACCTACATATCAGTTTAGGGAGAAGGTAAGTCAGCTCACTGAAGCTGGTAAATCGTTGTGGAGCAAGGAAACAGCTTTCCTAACAACCAATACTATGGAGTACCTCCAAAGTCTGTCCAAGCCAAGCATCTGAAAAAACCCCAAGTCGCAAAAAAAAAAAAAAAATGCTGCCCTATTGTCAATGCCAGCAATGCCATTCATATAAAGGTAGCAATGCACTTACTGAAAGAAAGGAAGTTTTTTTCCCCCTTCACCAACGCCACATGAGAGACAGGGCTTAGCTGAACTGTTCCCTAGCTAGTAATGTTCACTGTTAAAGCTAATTTAGAAGCTATAAGGAAACAGGGGGTTCAATGATATCAGACAGCAAGGTTATGATGTTTGTGCATACCATAATCATTTTTCATCGCACAGCTACGGAGGCACAAATGGAGCGTGCCTGATGAGCTCATTATGCATCATTTCATTGCTATGGATTATGGAACGTGCTTGATGAGCTCATTATGCATCATTTCATTGCTAGGGCTTAGTGGCACGCTGAGTTTGAGCATATTTGACTACACTCAGACCACCACATGACCATGAAGGGAAGAAATTTGCAACCTAAATCACAAGCGCTGGCACTCTGCCAACAATTTGTAAGATAAGAGGGTTTATAAAAAATTAGGTCCGCTAATGCAAGTTGAACAGATTTGGGGCATCTGGGGGTTCATGTACTCATGAAAATTGGATGCTTCCTCTTGACCCAGAGTAAGTAAGCAGTATACAAGAGCACAGATTTGCTGTGTGGGCAAAACATGCCATGTTGATGATGCGTGAATTCAGGATTCAGAAATGGCATGCCATCTGTATTCTCCTATATATGCTCTGAATGAAACCAACCAGGTTTCTTACTTAAGGCATGGCATATATATATGTGCACACAAGAGCAGATGGTAATGACGCTAGATACCACCAAGTCGGCAAGTCCCAAATCAAACAGATGGATTCGATTCCATCGAAATTTATGGTTAATTAGATTATATTAGATGGATGAATTCAAGGCAAGCACGGGTTATTTTGCAACTTTATTTATTGTACATATAGATGGTTTATGATGGCTGCAGCAGCTGCTCTCCTGATCTCCTCCTCCTCTACAGACTACGGAGGATGAGGATGGGAGGGGAGGCAAGAGCAAACCGTAGATGAGATTAAGATGAGGCCTGTGGTGGGTGTGGAAGTGGAACCAAAAGCAAAGTGTAAGGGGAGGGAGGGAGGGTTGCTAGCTAGTCTTGGGCGTCGTCGTAGGAACGGTGCAGGTCTGTGGTGCATCCGGGAGCGTCGGGGTCCTCGGCGCCGCAGCAGTCGTAGAACTTGGCGGCGTAGGGAGGGTCGCCGTTGCGGAGCTCGTAATACCTGTACTACCTAGATGAATCAGATCATAGGAGGGCAGAGTGTAGGGCAGCGTAGAGTAGGGTAAGCAGGCACCTCTTCTGGTCGTCGTGTCGGCGGCAGACGAAGAAGGAAGGGTGGAACCTGCAGGAGAGGCGCGTGTTGGCCGAGGGGTCGTAGCTCGCCTTGCACCGCCGGCACAGCTTGTCTTTGGGCGCGGGCGCGGCGGCCGGGGCAGGGGCAGGCACGCCTGAATCCATGGCCGTGGCCGTGGCCGTGCGAATGCGAATGCGAATTCGGGTACGGAGGCGGCCTCGGCGGAGATGGAGGAATTGGAATCGAATCTGGTCAGGTTTGTTCTCTGCTGGTGAGCCGGGCCGTTGAAACTTGCCTCAAGCTGTTGGCTGGCCTTGGCCCACCGCGCCGCGGCTTTGTCTCCCGCTCCCTCCCTGTGGGCTGTCGTCCTGTATAAACGCAAATGGAATCGCAATAAATGAACTGCTGTTTTTATGAGAGCTGTTATTACTGTATCAAAAAAAAACTTCTACCCTATCACAAAAAAAAAACTTCACTAGAAGGTGGAGATGGAGTCATCGAGCTTAAAGCAACACGACATGTCATTCAAGATCATGCACTCTTTTTTTTAGGCCTTTAGATGATGGTTGGGAATCCATACTCGACACTGTAGCACTTTCGTTTGTATTTAACAATTATTGTCCAATCATGGCCTAACGAGGCTCAAAAGATTTATCTCGTAATTCACAATCAAACTGTGTAATTAGTTATTTTTTTTTATCTATATTTAATACTCTATACATGTGTCCAAAGATTTGATGTGATGAAGAGAGAGTGAAAAACTTGGAATCTAAACAAGGCCTTAGAACAGAAGGATCATTCAGCTAACAGCACATGCCATTCAAGATCATTCACTTTTTTTTCAGAACAGAAGGATCACTCAGTTAGCAGCACGTCATTCAAGATCATTCAGTTAACAGCACATGTCATTCGAGATCATTCACTTTTTTTTCAAAACAGAAGGATCACTCAGTTAACAGCACATGTCATTCAAGATCATTCAGTTAACAGCAAGAGCCCTGCAGCCTTCCCAGATTGTCCAGGCGCCAAACAAGCAAAACACGAGGAGCCTAGAATACATGTATGATGATATTGTACTTCACATAAAGCACAGGTGCAGTGATATCCAGAAACATAACAGCTGGAACAAGGTTCTTCGGTTCATGCCGCCATACCAGGGCAGTCCTACCAACTACATTATTACACACAAATGGCCAGGGAGCTCTCCGCTGCCTCGTAGGCTGGCAGGTGTGCAGTAACATACCAGAATCATATGCTCCTGGCATAAGGCTCATCAGCAGCTGAGTCCCCATACCCATCAAGGCAGCCCTACAGACTACTTGCACAAAATGTCTTAAGAGTTCTCCACTTACTGAACACAGATGCAGTAACATCCCAGAATCATAACGAGCATAAGTTTCGCCAGTTTCGGCAAAGTACACCAAAAGGCAGCCCTAGTTAGCACTAAGCATGTGCACTGCACGGCCGACTGGTTCACCACACCGCAGGTGGTGCGCCTCACCACGGGGATGCGGTGGCGCTGCTGAAGCACTGCTCGAGCTTACTAACTTCTGCTTTCAGCCTCGAGATCTCCGAGGCATCACTTATCTCCTGTGAAAGAGCAGACTGCATCATGCGGCGGAAGAGACAAGCCTGCAGTTCAAGCTGACGGACAGTCATATTTAGCACACCGATCTGTGCGCGCCTCTGAGTCTCTTCGTGAGAAAACTTCAGCTCCAGATCTTTAATTGCGCCCTGCAGTTTGGCATGCCCCTTCTTTATGCGCAGCAATGTTTCCAGGCGTGATCGCAGGTGCTCCACGTCGAACCCATCAGCTTCCAGCAGAGAAACGCCCTTCATCTTCTCTTCGAACACTGCATCGTCATCCTCAATGCATAGCCTCTTTACGCTCTCTGCCAGGTTGGCGAAAGAGAGCATCAGACCCAATGCCATTCCTTCACGGAGCTCTGGAACGTGCTGCTGCCACTTATGAAAGTTTGGTCGTTGCAACACCTTACGGAAAACTTCCATTGCCTCAATCTGTGCCCACAACGGGGAGGTCTTCACGAATGGAATTTCCTCAACATCCGAGGATCCTGAAGGCTGTTCAGCTATGATGCTCTCCTGGACATCACGAGATCCCTGCAGCAAGGAGTCGCTAGAGCCGTGTGTTCTGCTTGGAACAAACTTGGACATTGGCGTACCCTCAGAACCTTTTGGTGCAATCAATGTATCACCAGGTTGCGCTTCAGTAGAGTTGCTCGTACCAATAGAAGACAACTGTGTTATTTCTGAATTCTCGGTGGACTGGCCACCTTCAGCTGCATACCTCACCATGTCACCTTTTGGTGCAATCAATGTATCATCAGGCCGTGCTTCAGTAGAGTTGCTCGTACTAATAGAAAACAATTGTACTATTTCTGAATTCTCGATGGATTGGATACCTTCAGCTGCATACCTTACCATGGCTGAAGTATGATCCTGTTTCGGCATTCCATGTTCCTCATGAGCTGCAACATTCTTGAATGCAGAAAATGGCCCAAAATTAGTGCTCTGGTTAACGCCAGCCATACCATCACAACATCCATCAGTTGATTGCTTTTCCTGATAAGCTAGTGCTTTGTTTGATCCTACAACGCTGCCAAATTCTATGGTATGTGATGGTATTATAAAAGATGGGGTCAGTGGGAGAGGAAGAGGCCTTAATGTCCCGAATGATCCAAACAAGGAAGCTAGCAGCTGTCCAGTCTGTGGAGCAGAGGGCTTGGCCACCATCTGAGAAGAGGATCGTTCAAGTTGATCACTTAGAGAAAGTTTAGGATCATATTTGAAATTGCCAAACCCTGTCGCTGATGATTGTGAAGGAAGTGCCAAGTGGGACTCGAATGACAACATTGTACCTTGTTGCTTCACCACTTTTTCAGGATAACTGCTTGTCTTACGCTTGGTAGGCAAGTGGGACTTAAATGACAATATTGTACCTTGTTGCTTCACCACTTTTTCAGGACAAGTGCTTGCCTTATGCTTGGTAGGATCATTTTCATTGGACACCAAGTCAGGCCAAAATGGTTCCGATACTACATCTTTATTTACCTTTTCCATAAGATGTGAGCCAGATTCATAGCTGATGCTGTCATTGTCAACACATGGTGCCATGCTAGCAATATCAACACTATCGTTACATGATGCCATTGCCAAGACAGCAGAAGCTGGCCTTTTTCGAGATGTTGATTCAGGCCCCCTGTTAACAGGTTTCTGAAATGGGAAAGGCAACACATCATTATGGTGATAAATTACAATCTTGATCAAAATGTTGATAAGCATAGCTTTTGGAATCAGAACGTCCATACTATTTTATATATGTTGGTTTGACTAGAACTAATTTATGTGATCTTTATAAATGAATGAAGAAAATAATAAATTACAATAACCATGACTAAAAGAATAAAATAATCTAACAATTGAGTTAAAGAGGTCTTTTTTATTCTTGTAACCATGAAGACCTGGAATGCTAATATCATGTTCATTGCTAAACTGAACCAATTAATGAGAATAATCAATATGAATTGGTCATGTCCAAAACAGTGCACGAAGATGAACAAATTTTGAGCAAACAATAACGTTCCAAGGAATCTAATATTGAGATAGTTTTTTTTTGAGGGAACAATATTGAGATAGTCACATAGTGAAAGTACAGACTTTGGCAAAACTAACCACATTCAACAACAAACCCTTTTTTTTTAGAAATGACGGCAAAAGCTTTGCCGCTGTTTTATTAGACGATAAAAAGTAAAACAGAACTGTACAAGAAATTACAAGAGAGCAGTCATGCAAAAGCCTGCCTGACCTCTCCACCCCCGAGCAACTAACAACAGAGGAACCACTGAACTGACACCGAGTACAGTGAAAACAAAAAAACTACCACCTGACTGGGAAAACCTAAAACTAGGCACGACAACAACTGAGGGAGAACTACTTAAGGTCCCTAGGTCTTCAATTACAAACCCTTTTTTTGTGAAGGAAAATAATGTCATTACAAACATTCCAGTAGTTACATAAAGAAAGGACACCATACATGTGCAAAAGAATTTAAACCAGAGCTTATGAACACCCAAAAAACAGAAAATTTAAATTTTGTGTACCTCTGACATGCTGCGCACCCATTTTCCGTGGTACCAGTCATACCGCGGCCTCAGTTGTGTATGGTCAACAGTCAACAAATCAGTACATTCAGCATCATCCTTGTCTGCCTCGTGGCTCTTGATTTTCACGACATACTTCTTGGTTGATTCAATATCCAAAACCTCCAGAATAACACCAGGCCACCAGCTACCTTCACGAAAGACTTCTGCGGGAGAAGATGGGGAAAATCTATACTTTGAGTCCATGCGAACCATGTCTCTTGTTGGCCGGATATATTGAGAATCTAGAATCTCAGTAACAAGTTCACCATCCTCTTTGACATCTCTGTATTGTACCAAGAAACTCGACGCGCCAATTACTTTGAGAACAGTAGCTGGACTCCAGTATTTGCCAAACGTTTTCGTGGAGCGACTCACTTCAACTTGGCTTCCCTCTCTGAATAGTGGTGTTCCATTCTTCTGCACAAAGCAAGAGCATTAGAATGCACAGTTCATAGTTACTTGAACTTGCAATCTATGATTACAACCCACTATCCATTAATTTTAATTCATCTCTTTGATACATCCATTTCAAGCATTCAATTAACAAGTCCATTCCATATAGGCTCAAATGGTTCAGTATAACATCAAACAATTGTAAAGAAGTGGCATTTTTATTCTCTGAGTGCATTATGAAATTTGCATCTAGTAGCACTTATAAATACAACCCATGTTCATATACAAAATGCTGAGAAAATGCATGTCCACTTCCAGGACCCCCAAATTTTAACCACTTTATTTAAGTATAAAATAACATTAAATATATAATATTTGCGTAAAAGTTTTGACATTTATAGTCGTTGTCGTTCCAAAAAAAGAATAAAATAAGAGATTAGTATTAAAAAATAATTAGTATGTGGCACTCCAATCCAAATCCAAACATGCACGGATCGAATAGGCAGATCGCTTACCGCCTTTGCAGCAGCAGCAGGGACCCAGCAGTCGTCCAGGAACACGCGGCTCGGCCGCAGCGCCGTCTCCTCGAAGTCCAGCAGCTCCCGCGACGTCGGGAAGCAGACCTTGTACACCCTGCGTGGCCGCTGCGCGGTGTCCACCTCCGGTGGCGGCACCGGCACGGCACTGACGACGACGCCGGCCCACCAGCCGCCGTTGTGGAACGCGTCGACCATGTCGTGCATGGCGAAACCCCGCCGCGGCGGCGGCCTGTGGGGCGGGCGCGGGCGCACGTTGGTGGCGGCAGCGACCTCCCGCAGCGGCGAGTCCCCGCCGTCCCTGCGGCTGAGCGTGGAGTAGGCCACCACGTAGCTGAGGTCGCTGTGCTGGTACCCCTCGACGGTGGCCTCGTAGTAGGAGCCGACGAAGCCGGGGTCGTCGCTGCGCACCTCCACCTCCGCGCCAACGGGGAAGAGGGCTGGGTCGTCGTCGCCCCCCTCCCTCGCTGCCTCGTCGTCCCCGCGGGACCGCAGTCGCTTCCTGGGCCGGCCGCGCCCCATGGATCGGATCCTGGACGCGCTCCTTCCGCTGTGTTTTCTTGGGTCGGCAGCAGAGGAGAGCGATGGAATGGTCGTCCGGGATTGAGAGGGGGTGATGGCGGAGGCAACGATGGAGGAGGGGTCTCGTCTTGGGCTCGGGGTTTTGCTGGTGCAGTGCTGCAACTGAAGTGGGAGTGCGGTGGTGGTGGGAAGGGGCGCGGCTCCCGAGGCGGTGGCGGGAGCGGACGGCCCGGATGGGAGGCTGAGGCCTGAGGGGCACGCGACGAGAGCCTGATGCTGATCGATCGCGGGATACCCGTCGTCCTGGTTGGCGGTTGCTGGGAGCTGGGAGCAGGGAGCAGGGAGCAGCGAGGAGAGGAGGGTCAAAGCACAAGAAGGGTGCGTGGGGTTAGGGTGGGGGAGCGGGGTGGCGATGTGACGGCGGAACGCAGTGGCGAGCGGCGACGGGACGACAGCTAGCTGGTGGCGTACGTGGACAGGATGCAGGGTGGCACGACGGGACGCGTTCCTTCTCGCATGCCAGTCACCGCAACAAGAGGGTTAAACTCACCGGCACATCGGGAAACGGGGAAGAAAGCAGTGCCCAGTGCACCACCTTGGGCATCAGCAACACGAGGACAACCAGCCAGAAGCATTAATGCATTATGCATCCTAGACCAACCATCAACACCCTAAACTAAAATTAGAGTAGTTTTAGAGTAAGGCTATTAATACATTCTCCTGCTGGGCGTATGAATATTTACCGTCCACCTCTTAACCTACTTCACAGTTAATCCATGCCCAACTTGTCAGTCTTATAAGATTTCTTGATTTCTATGTAAGCTGACTGTAAGCTTAGGGCACCCGTAATAATTAAAACTAGTTAGTGACTCTAACCCAATTTCTCCAATAATACTAACTTTTAGCATATAGTTTTTAAGTACGAATAACCCCACATAACATTCTCATATCATCTTGAAATATGTGCAAGAGCGCGCTTAGCTCTTGATTAAGAACTAGTTTTTCTCTCTCTTCTATTAAAAATATGAGAAAATGCTTAGAACTAGCTTAAAAGCCAATTGATGGAGTTGTCCTTATAGGCCCTTCCCCATTTCTCTCTACCTCAGCGTACAGCTCACCTGCTGCTCCCTTACTATACTTGCTCTTAGTACAAGTTTTATCTCACAGATGATAATATTGTCACATTAGCTTTACATGTTTGAAATGATGCAGGAAGCGGTCTCTCTCGATGTATAGTTTTATCACACAGTTTCATAGACTAACCATATCATTAAAGTGTTGTGTAGTTTGTGTTATGATCAAATGTACCATGTGAATTATGTAGCCACTTCAAAATATTAGCTTGATCCTTGAGCACACAAGCTGACCACTACTGTTGGAAGTCTGATAACCTTAAAAATAATGTCATGGATATACCTGTGTTTACAAAGAAATTACGTAGATCAAACACCGCCTAGTACCCTCGCTAGCTTATTGGGTTCAACTCTGAACTCGACCACAATAAGCACAATCGGCAATGCTCAGAACGACAGGAAGAACTGATGACAACTAGGTTTAACTATATCTCTACCACTGTTGCAAGAAATGTGATGAGTATAAGATTGATTTATCACAATGATGCATTATAAAGCCCAAACATACAAAGTCGATAGCAGCGCTCCCTATTCTAAGAATATGTCTCTCTTCTTTCCCGGCCCTGTGCTAACCAAATTAAATTCGTGATCTCGGATGTTATTCCGTACCTAAAATGCAAAGATCTATAACACATCATGGATTTGGGGAGTGGATTCCTATAGGGGAAATCCAAGCCGCTACTACCTCCAGAATTCATATCCCGATCAACATTGTTCTTGGCAGTGCGGCATCGCTGAATATGGAGGTGGCACCCACGCCGATGATCATGGACCTCTTAGCAAAGACAACCGCAGGACTTTGGAATCACCCTTCTTTTGTCAACCATCCATGACCTCGGAGTTGCGCCCCTCGGGAACTCCCTCGTTGCATCAAGTCATCGTCGCCGGCTCGCTGTCGTGATTGGAAGGGAGGCACCATCTTTTTGCCGGTGGGGAGGGAGCAGATAGCCAGATGCGACTGAACTCCGGACGAGATTGCCTCACCTACCTAAGGACGAAATGAACGTCCCTCAGAGTAATACAGGCACCTAGCTGCAAGAATTCTTCAAGCCTATCTCTCGGTCCATATGTATAGTAGTTAGCTCTTCAGCATTAATACATGATCCATTTATCTCTTTCACAGAGTTTCGGTTGTAAGCTTACGGCCCGTCTCTCCTCTCTCCTCCAACTTAGCATTCAGCCTACTTATAGCATGTTATTATACTTACTGAGTGTGGTGTCGTTCCATTTCTAAGATGTTGGTAACCGAGCCACACTCATTTCATCCTGATGAGATGAAAAAAAATTCTTCTTTTTCTTGGTACATAGGGTGCCACATCATCAGTTTTGCCTATATTACACCTCATTGACAATGAAACTATAGAGACTGGACTTAAAATTTCAGTTAAATAACATAAGTTTAATAGGTCTATGTTCAAGCCCTTAAACTAGAATGGTTCTCAAATCATACTTTTTTTACCGTGGTCCCTATCGAGCGGTTAGCTATTTTTTTCTTTAACGTTTGCTCTTCTCTTTCCGATGAGTCTCGTTTTTATGCCGTGGGCAACCCTTGTTATTGTCATGTTCGTTCATTCTTCTCTTTTTCTTTCTTCCTTGTCGTGCCCTCGACAAGGACGCCTGTAAGGTCGAGATGACAGACTAGAGGGGGGTGAATAGTCCTTTCTAATTAATCACGTCGGCTAACCGAAACCAGTGCGGATTTAAAACTATCGGTCTAGCCAAGATTGCACCCCTCTATTTATGTTCTCTAGCACCTTCCAAGGATACTAATTAAGCAACAAAGGTGTCGGGTTACCTAGAGCTCACCTAACCAATTCTAGAAGCACACACAAACTTATGACACCATCTTTAAGCAACAAGGGGCTCCTACCTCCAAGCAAAAGCACAAAAGCCACCACTAGCAATGCTCTTAACAAGGCAACCAATGCCAAATTAGAGCGCAAAATACTTAGCTACACTAACTAAGCAATGTGACTAACAAGGTTACACAAACCAAATTAGCGATGCTTCTATGCTACACAAGCAAGAAGATAACTAGTGAGCTACACAAGCTTAACTAGATACAAGAGCAACTCTCAAGCACAATGTATATGAAAGTAATTACAAGCTTGTGTAACAAGGATCAAACCATCAAGAAAGAATAAGGTTGACACGATGATTTTTCTCCCGATGTTCACGTGCTTGCCAACACGCTAGTCCCCACACAAGCCGACCTCACTTGGTGGTTTGGCTAATTGGCATCACCCGCCAAGCCCGCACGTCGGGCACCGCAAGAACCTACCCCAAAGTGAGGGTAGCTCAATGACACGCTCAACTAGAGTTGCTCTTCATTTATAACCCCAATACCCCTCACAAATCTTCTCCGGAGCACCACACAAGCTTCTTGCGGGCTTCGACGGAGACCACCACCAAGCCGTCTAGGAGGTGGCAACCTCCAAGAGTAACAAGCACCAATGGCTTGCAACTCGATCACCTAGTGTCACTCGATGCAACCTCACGATATAATCGCACTAGAATCGCTCTCTCACACACATCGAATGATCACTATCAAGTATATGTGAGATGGAGGGCTCCCAAGCACTACCACACAAGCCACCAAGGCTCTAGTGTGCTCAGCTGTTGTTCTATTTATAACCCCACGAACAAATAGAGCCGTTACCTCTTCACTAGGCAAATGTCGGACGACCGGACGCTCGGTCCGTCGATCGACCGGATCGGCGTCCGGTCCGACACTCGCCGTACGCCCCTCCTTCAAATGTTGTTCAACCGATCTCAACGATCATCGGCGACCGGACGCAAGAGCTTCAATCGGCCGGATCTTTGAGCCTTCGATAAGTTTGAAACGTTTCGATGAAGGTTCGAAGCGACATTTCACCTCGATCGCGATCGGACGCAGCACACCGGCGTTCGGTCACTCTCCGGCTTCTGCTTTCTGCGTCACCATCGTCGGCTCTAACGACGCAGGACCCAGGCGTCCGGTCACTCACGTGAGACCGTCGTCCGTCCACTCTGTGAGACCCTGTCTTTTCTGTATAGGGCGCCGGTGGCACCGTCGGACTGTCCGCACTCTATGGGCGGACACTCTGCCGGTGGAGTTTCTAACCCTTCTTGTCTCTGTTTCATCACCGAGTTGATCCACATCAACTCCAACTTCATCTCACCACCATGTGTATGTGTGTTAGTTTTTTCACAATTATTTTCCAAAGGATTAGCCACTCAACTTGCCACGCCACTCGATCCTAGAGATGATGCAAAGTTAGATCACTCGAGTGGCACTAGATGACCGATATGCAAACAAGTTTGCCCCTCTTGATAGTACGGTCATCTATCCTAAATCTGATCATCAACTTCTCTACACACCTATGACCGGTGAAATAAAATATCTTAGGTCGTACCTTTACCTTGCGCATTCCATTCCATCTCCTTCAATGTTGATGCAACACATGCACCAACATGATCAACAATGATATGATCCACTTCATATCATCACGTGATCATATTGGTTCATCGATCTTAACCTCACTTGCTTTTCACCATTGCCTTTGTCCATCGGCGCCAAGTCTTGCTCAAGCTTCATCACCACGTGGACCATCGCTCCAAAGCCTCCAACTTGCCCTTCACGCTTGCAACCGGTCTATCAAGCCAAGTCATGTCTTGATCTTCTCCATCTTGATCACATGACTCAATGTCATGTCTCATTTGCAATGAGCTCCTTCATCATCACATGTGTGAGCTTTGCAACATCTCCAAACTATTTTCACCTTCATGGCATATGTTGCTCACACATATATACCTGTGGACTAATCACCTGTGTATCTCACATAAATACAATTAGTCCACCTAGGTTGTCACTCAATTACTAAAACC